AGATGGTAATAGAAGGAGGTGAGTCCACGCCCTGGCCCATGACTTGTGTTTTCTTCAGGCTGATTGTTAGTCCAAAGTCTTGGCAGGCCTTGTTAAAGTGATTCATGAGTTGGTGGAGGTCTTTGGCAGAGTGGGCAACAATGGGTGCATCATCGGTGAACAGGAAGTCCCACATGCATTTCAGTTGGACTTTGGTCTTCCCTCTCAATCTAGAGAGATTAAAGAGCTTTCCATCTGATCTAGTCCGGAAATAGACACCCTCGGTTGCAGTTCCAAAGGCATGCTTCAGCATACAGCAAAAAAGATCCCAAAAAGGGTTGGTGCGAGGACACAGCCCTGTTTCACTCCGCTTTGGATGTCAAAGGGATCTGATGTTGAGCCGTCAAAAACTACAGTGCCCTTCATTTCCTCATGAAAGGATCTGATGATCTTAAGGAGTCGAGGTGGACATCCAATCTTGGGAAGGATTTTAAAAAGGCCATCCCTGTTAACCAAATCAAAGGCCTTTGTGAGACCTATGAAGGCCACAAAGAGTGGCTATCATTGTTCCATAAATTTTCCTACAACTGTCTGAGGGAGAATACCACATCGGTGGTGGATTGATTAGCTTGAAATCCACACTGTGATTCTGGATAAACTCTGTCTGCAAGCACCTGGAGCCTCTTCAGCACAACACGGGCCAGCAGCTTCCCTACAACGCTGGGTAGTTATTGCAGTCCCCTCTGTCTCCTTTGTTCTTGTACAATGTGACAATGTTTGATGGTTCGCTTCAGGGGCTCTGAAATATGATCTTATCTCCCTGATCCTGGCTTGCTTGCATTGGCTCCCTGTGAGCCTCTGGATTTTCATTAGATGGGCAGTATAAAATGTAATGTAAACAAACAAGCAAACAAACACGCTGGAAAAGATGAGAATGGTGAGCAGTAGTGAAGGCAGAATGACCTTTTTGGAGTGACTAGCAGTGGAAATGGTTTGGGGGACTTTATAGAGACTACTTGTGGCCTGTATCACACATTTGCCCACTCCTGACAGGCAGCCTTTAGCGCATCTCAGCCAGGGCGGCCAACACTATCACTTTCTTAACTTCCCGAGATGCCTGCATACCATCATTTTCTCCTCTCTCATCTTCCCAGATGCCTCCCGATTGATGTGTGTTTGTTTGAGGCTTTTAATTTTTCTTTTTCTTTTCCCTGTCCGGGCTGACTTTTAAAAGAAGGCGAAGAGTGACAGTTTTCAAAAAGGAGACCCAAACAGCAAATTAAAATTTCAGCCAGCAGCAAAATCAGTTAGGGTAGCCATGGCCACCTTGATGGAAAAGAGGACAGAAATGGGATGCACGAAATGGACTGATGCAAATTTGGAAAGAATGACTACAATCCAAAGAGAAATACGATGCATTTTCCCATGGGGAGGTGGGGTGGGCTGGAACCAGGCAAGATGTGTGTCCGATCAGGATAAGTCTCCTATCCCCAGTCCTGATGATACACTATTTCTGCGTTTCTCCCTCTCTCTTTTGAGTTCTTTATCTTTAAATTGGCCAGTCTGGAAAAGCCTTTAAACGGGGAATGCCTTCAAATGGAAGCATACCCTCTGGGAACTAAAGAACTATCATCTTCATCTCTATGGCTCATCAGTTTTTTTTGTATGACCCTATAGATCATCAGGTCCAGCCCCTGTCAAGAAGTCACAATGTGGAAATCAAACTCCCAATGTGGAAATCAAACTCTGCAGCCAGAGACCTCAACCGTTGACCCCTCCAGCATCCTTGGCAAAGGAGGACTTACGGCTCCCTTAAATTCCATTCAACTTAACAGAGCTCAGAAACCCGTTCAAAGGCCATTCATATCCATAAGGGAAAAAAAGACAGTCTCCATCAGGCCCCTGAAAGCAAAGCAGATTTGAAGCAAAGTGAGGTTTCGAAGGGTCACCTCCTGAGGCAGGGCTTGAGAAGCAGAGCCCATGGCTAAAGTTGTCCATCATTGAAGCGTGAAGTTGGAAGGGGCCTCTAAGGCCATGAGACGTCCATCATAGAACCGTGAAGTTGGGAGGGGCCTCTAAGGCCATCCCGTCCAACCCGCTGCTCGATTCAGGAATCCAAGTCAAAGGACATCGGCCAGGTGGTGGTCTAAGTTTCTCTTGAATTGGCCAGGTGGGTGGTCTAAGTTTCTCTTGAATGCCTGCAGTGTTGGAGCGCTCACCGCTTCCTCTTGAGGTCATGGGTCCCACTGTCCCCAACCCCCCCACAGGGATACATGTTGCCATCCATTCATACCTCTTATAGGACCTTCATCTTTGAAAAGTTTATCCAAAAGAGAACAACGCAGCAATCTATATTTAGGCACTGAAACACTGGCCATCGTCTTACTGCTTACTCAGTTGCCTCAGGGCAATCACACTTGTGAGGGGAGCCATTTTCCAGGTGGTCCTTCATATTCCCTACGGGTCAGGTCAATCTCCCAAGTCACGGTGTGACCGGTCACGTGACGGACAGCTCAGGTGCTCTTTCACAAGTGTTCTTATGCTCCTGGTAAACCTCAATAGGGTTTTGGGCTATTGTGACAAAATACCATATTTTTCCGTGTATAAGACACCCCCATGGATAAGACGCCCCCGTGTATAAGACGCCCCCACTTTTCTAATCCAAAATTAAGAAATCTACATGGGTTGTTGTGGGTTTTTCAGGCTCTTTGGCCGTGTTCTGAAGGTTGTTTTCCCTAACGTTTCGCCAGTCTCTGTGGCCGTCATCTTCAGAGGACAGCACTCTGTGCTCTGGTGTAGTTGGCTTGGGAGTGCAGTATTTATGGCTGTGAGATCGGCTTTTGTCTTTTTCTATAGATGGGTGATTAGTGTGTCTTGTTGTGGGGGTATTGTTGTGCTAAGGAGAAGAGATTATCTGTCAGTGTGGTTGATGGGTGTCATTAGCTGATCTTTTGTATGTAGTGATCCCCTGTCCTTGTGGCTGGGTAGAGTTCGTTGACCTTTTGCACGCTGTATTTTTGAGAGCTGGGAGCCAAGTTTTGTTGAGCTTCACACTTTCCTCTTTTTTGTTCCTATGTTTTTATGGTCATCGCAAGGGTTCTGCTGCAGCAACTACAGCAGAGCACAGAGTGTTGTCCTCTGAAGATGTCGGCCACAGAGACTGGTGAAACGTTAGGAAGAACAACCTCCAGAAAACGGCCAAAGAGCCTGAAAAACCCACAACAGTGAAAAGGCCGTGAAAGCCTTCGCGAATACAAAATCTAAATGGGGCTTAGCAAGTGTAGGGGGAAAGGCATAAAAGCGCTGCAGAATTGCTTTGATATCCCTGCTGTCCCCTCCAGTTGTTTTTGTTCTCTCCTCATCTTAGTTCCGTGTATAAGACGACCCCCCAATTTTCAGTCTAGATTTTAGACAAAAGTATAATCTTATACATGGAAAAATACAGTACCTCATAGAAAATTTACGGCCAGCCCTTTTGGTGTGTGCGGACCGATTCCCTGAAGCGAACCTCGGGCTCTTGAGACTGCAAGAGCAGTTTAGAACAGGAGACGGTGGAGATCATTCATTCACAACTTGACAGCACATAACAATAACTTCAATAATAATAATCGAACGCAGCTCAGTCAATTCTCACTCATAGCGACCCTTTCTCCAACATGGTATTCTGTCCATTTTGTTTTGCTTTTTTCCTAGATTTGTGTTTTTTTTAAAAAACAATGACTTCCCCTCTTAAAATATGCAACTGGTAAATTCTGAAAAAGTCTTCAAAGAAAAACACATACACATTGGAAATGAAATTAATTTCTGTCAAGATCAGACAAATCCAGTAGGTACAGCTATTCCCTGCACTCTTAAAAACATGCAACTGGTAAGTTCTGAAAAAGTCTTCAAAGAAAAACACACACACATTGGAAATGAAATTAATTTCTGTCAGGATCAGACAAATCCAGTAGGTACAGCTATTCCCTGCATGGAGAGACCATACAGTGTCTCTCCTCTCTCTCTATGTGTGTGTGTGTGTGTGTGTGTGTCTAAAATAAGATTTAACGTGTTGATGCTAAAATAGATACTATCATGTTAAATATGCAAAGGCTGGGTTAAAAGATTAGATGCCTCAGTTTGCGTATTCTTCTGGTTCTCTTTCTGATGCAAGAGTAACGATTTCAGCATCAGCGTGCTAAATTTAACATGTTCTTCTCAAGGTCTGGTTTCATCTCAGACAAATGTAAGCAAAACTGAAAGTTCTCATTGCTCAAGATTAAAAGACTCTCAAAATAAGGCTTGAAACATGGGTTAATTTCTTCAGCAGTGACATGGTTGAGCACACGGGGGGCTCGAACCTGGTCTTTTTTTACAGCTAGCCCACCCTGAGAGCTGAGATCATGCAAGGGTTCTAGAAATGAGATCTCGGGTGTGGTCACACAGGGAAATAGATGGTGTTTTGGACCTCTTGTGATGTGGTCTGGTGCCATCTCTTTCCTGTTCATCACACAACTTGCATGGAATTTCCTTCTAGCCTGACTCTGATCCATGCCCAAAAGGTGGACCATTTTGGTCCAACTGTAGGGCTCTTACTTTTCTTGGCCACGCTGGAGTGACCCCCTGGTCAAACGGAAGGCTCTCTTTAAAGGAGATTGCTCCCCGCAAATGGATTCTTTCCAGTACGATTGGTCACACACTTTTCCAGCTGTCCAACTTCAGCCTTAGACAACATTTTGAGAATTCAAACTTCCAAATGAAGCCGGTCACAAAACAAAACACGCTGATTAGCAAACTTAGAGGAGGTTGCCATAACGCACATTTTGAATTTCCCCTTTTAATGACCGATCATCTGGAGGACTCAAGGTTCTCGAGAACTAGAGGAATAAATATGCCTGTTTTGATTTTGCCCGGACTCAAGGTATTTTATTCACAAGTTCTTTGAATTCCCTCTATGAAGCTGTTTACAAATGTTGGTTAAATTCTTAAGAAGAATAAAACGGAAATGAAATGCTGATCTATCCCAAGCCCCATGGACTGACCTTCCATCAAGGTATGGTGGATGCTCCAGTAGACGCTGAGGCAGTGCTTCTCCTTCTTCATGCCCCGTTTACACTTGCAACCATAGAGTTGACTAGACAGAAGGGCCGTCACGGTATTCCGGCACTGGCTCTTGGCATCCGGACCCAGCTTGTTGGCCCCATTGCCGGCAATGCATTGTCGGAGAGTCCGGAATTTGGAACTGCAGCTTGGGTCATTGGTGCAGGACTCCCCGGCTTGCAAGCAGTCCCGGGCGGAGCTGACCACATCTAGAGAAGAACAAGAGAAAAGAAGGGTGATGGTAACATTTCAAAACTAGGTTTCCCTTGAGGGTGCACAAAAGATCTGTGGATCAGCTGTACTCAAGGGCTCTGCCCATGGGAGGGTCACAGCTTCACTTAAAGCGGTGAGAACCAGGGTTCATTTGGGTTTTGGTCCTGACCCAGATGAGACACACAACAGACGGCTTTGGGTGAGTCATTGTCTGCAGCTAACAAGCCTATTGTAGGGAGAAAGCCAATAGTAAATAATAATACTCGTGGGCCGTCAAGTGAATTCCAACTTACAGCAAGCTTTTCCAGGCTTTTCTAGATAGAGAGTAACTCAGAAGTAGTTTATACTATTGCCTTTTTTGTTTGTGTGTGTGGAGGGTGCCCTGGGACTGTGCAGCTTGCCCAAGGCCACACAGGCTGGCTCTTCTGGCATGCACTGTGGCTCCATAGCCAGAGACCTAACTCACCGAGCTGTTATGAATAAGTCAAAGACAATGGGAAACAGAAGACATTTCCATGTAGAGAAGTGCTTACCAGCCAAGGGTAAGTGAGCCTTTATCCTGGAAATATTGCAGTGTTAGAAACCGATCAAGGCACTAAACGAAGCTTGCTCTAATCCAGCCAGCAATTATGGCAGGACGCCTGCATATCAAACCGTATTCCGTGCATGAAAAGAACATGGAAACAGCATGGAGAAGTTTTTTTTTTTTAAAAAAAACCAGAAGTTCTATAAATGGTCAGGCTGCCTGAAGGATTCTGTAAACTGTAACCCCCCAGTAACTGTGGTCATCTCTGGATTTAGATCACAGCACGCCTCCTAACCCCAGGCTAGCTTCCAGTGCATCTTTTGCAGATCCCACTGCCTGATCCTAAGAAGCCACTTCATATCAGGTTCTTCTAGATTCCTCACAGGAGTCTTTTCCAGCCTCATCAGAAGAGTCTCAGGATTAAGGCTGGGCTCATCAACCTGCAGACCATGTGCCTGCACGCTAACGACCACGGCTTTTTCTGAAGCTACATCCTCTTCTCTTAAGCATGGGAGCACAACACTTGGCAGAGATTAATTAATTATAACAGGAAATGTTCCAGAGAACATTCAGAGGTGATTGGACTACCTTATCTACTGTCTTTTCCAATTGGCTAGATGGTGATGATAGGCATTGTAGTCAAGAAACACCTGGTCCTTCGTGCCTCTGAATTACACCCTAATTATTACTATATTTGTTCTTGCTTTGGAAACTGAAAACATGTGGGGGGATTGTGGGAATGCTAGGGGGAAACCAGTGTTCACACTCAACTTAGAGCGGGCAGTAGGTGAACCTCCAATGGTCTTCAGGCTGTTACTCCCACCCACCCCTGTGTTGGTTGGGGCTAATGGGATTTGGAGTGCATTATAACCTATGAGCCACCAGTTCCTTCCTTCTGCATTAGACACACCTTCTCAGGACATCCCCTGTCCCTCCTCTTTCTGCCTTTTAATGCTTTTCAGCGACTCCTGTTCAGATCTTCAGCTCCTGCTCGCCGAGCGCTTGGCAATCAAGCCATAGGATTCCAGCCAGTCTCTTTCACAAGGACAAGGCGGTGGCGTTGGCAGCCGCCCCACGCTTCAAAATCTCCGAGAGGCATTGTGAAAGAAAGAGCCATCCAGCCGGCTCCTGTCCGCCCACGGGAACCACGAGGAAGGGGAGGCCGGGGGATGTTTTTCCCAGCATAGGAACAGCTGGATCTCAACGCCGGAGTGAAGCTGCCCTAAAGACAACCGAGGTTATCCTGCCTTCCTCAACAGAGACTTTATAGGAGGGATTACAGAGGAATGTGTCTCAGGCTTTCGGTACTGGGTTCCCAGCCTCGAGATGTAGGATTTAGAACCTACTTGTGTTTTTGTGAGCGAGAGGGCTATAGGGGAGAAAGTGGAATAAACAGCTGCATGACTCTCCCATAACGCCAGTGAAATGAGAGAACAAAGCCTGAAAAGTTACTTTTAAAAGCAATCAGTTAGAGTTCCAAGACCCCCAAAGTAGTTACTGTATACCCTGTTTCCCGGAAAATAAGACCTAACCTGAAAATAAGCCCTAGTATGAGTTTTCAGGATGCTCATCATATAAACCCTACCCCAAGAATAAGCCCCAGTGAAGTGAAACCCAGCCCTCCACCCTTGGGCAGCAACCAGAAGAAGAGGACAGGACTGTATCTGAATCAATGTAGATGGTTGTACATGGGGGGGGAAAAATCCTCTGAAAATAAGCTCTAATGTGCAGGAAAATTTAATATAAGACCCTGTCTTATTTTCAGGGAAACACGGTAGCTGTCATTTTTGGAACAGCAACTCTTTTCTGTTTCTTAGAAGTAATTAAAATGAACTGTTTAGTTCTTTTAATCATTCCTTTTAACAAAGAGGTTCAACTTTCCTGGACTTGTACTGCCAAGTGCCCTCTCCCCTTAACTTCCTCATCACCACTCTACCGCTTATGTCAGGGAGCAGAGTAGCACCAATGGCATATTTTATTTCTGCCGATCTAGTAAGGCAGAATTATAAAAGTAACTTTAAAAATTACAGTTACACCACAGGAGTAACATTACCCCTCTTAAGTTACATTTATTACATCTTCCTTAATAGATGGCTCCTCCATCTTTTAAAGTTCATCCTTGTTTGTCCCAAAGGAGCACAGGCCTTACTGGGACTCAAACTTCCTTTTAGAAAACCACTTCACCAAAAATTGTTTCTCTGCTGGAAGTCTAAAGAAATCCTGTAACAAAAAGGTCTCAAATTCCCTGATGGCGCTTCTGCTTTAGAGCTGTTTCGTCTGCTTTCCTGTTTAAAGTTAATCGACAGCCTAATTGAACGCCTTCTGACCTGGGGCTCTGATTGTGGAAATGAGCTTCCCCAGAGGCACAACAACATTTAACGCCACACCCCGGTTAAGGTTCTTCCTTAAGAGATTGCTCCTCCATCTTTTAAAGTTCATCCTTGTTTGTCCCAAAGGAGCACAGGCCTTACTGGGACTCAAACTTCCTTTTAGAAAACCACTTCACCAAAAATTGTTTCTCTGCAGGAAGTCTAAAGAAATCCTGTAATAAAAAGGTCTCAAATTCCCTGATGGCACTTCTGCTTTAGAGCTGTTTCGTCTGCTTTCCTGTTTAAAGTTAATCAACAGCCTAATTGAACGCCTTCTGACCTGAGGCTCTGATTGTGGAAATGAGCTTCCCCAGAGGCACAACAACATTTAACGCCACACCCCGGAATGAGCGGAAATAAAAATAAACTACACCTCCGGCAGAGACAAAGCTCTCCCTCCAACAATCACAGATTTTGTCACCGCTTGAACCGAGACAAGCCGTACGTAGTGCGGAGGGTGGGGAAATACTGACTAGACCAATAACTCATCTGATACATTATGAAGAATGAATCCTCTGTTTATGAGCCATATATTGCAAAGAGAGAGAGAAAGAGAGAGAGAGAGAGGGAGAGAGAAGAAGTTACGTACGAGTAATTCTGCTGTTATTCTGTGCCATCCAGTGGCATCCAACTTATGGCCACCCCAACAGGGTTTTCAAGGTACGTGAGATCTTTAAAGAGTGGTTTTTACCAGTGGGCTCTTTCCCATGAGTTTCTATGATGAGTGGGAATTTGAACCTGGGTCTCCCAGTTATTTGCCATTGGTTACTTTTGAGCTCTATGATCAACACAGAATAGAAAGCTGGGCCTCTGAAACAGGCAGGAGTGTTTTGCCACAACGTGTACACAAGGACAATACTCACACAGCTAACTTTTTGAAAATTGCTACTCTAACGTAGTGTCTGTGTCCATCAGTGTCCATGTCCTATGTTCATACCTTGAGTGCTCTAGTGGCTTTAAGCCTTACCCTTAGTGATGGAGAGATAAGGTCCACCTAGCTGGTAGGATTTTTGTGTGAGTCTTGTTGAGATCACACTCTGGTTGGATGACTCAGTGAGTTGAACACAACCACTGTGCAAACATTAAAAAAATTAGGAAGCCTATTCTCTTCTTTGGACTAAAAGCAGATCCTGGGCCTGAACACTGAGCATTACTGATACGGCATTTGCTATGATTTGGGAACAACCAGGGGTGGGGACTTGAGTTGCGGGACACAGACTTAAGTTGCACCGGTAACTTGACTTGGACCTGACTCATGACAGGGAAGCCACCCATCCTCCCTTTTCTCTCATTTCTAATAAGGACTTGAACTTGGGACTCGGTACCAAAGACTCAGACTTGGGACTTCAGACTTGGGACCAAAGACTCAGACTTGGGACTTGGGACTTGGTACCAAAGACTCAGACTTGGGACTTCAGACTTGGTACCAAAGACTCAGATTTGGGACTTGGGACCAAAGACTCTGACTTGGGACTTGAGACTTGGTATCAAAAACTCAGACTAGGGACTTCATACCAAAGACTTGGACTCAGGCCCAAAGACTTGCCAACATCCCTGGGAACTACAGCATTGAGTTCCCCTAAAGGTCTGCAACTAACAATCCATGTGAGCTAACCCTGCATCTTGAACACGCTCCAGAGTTAGTGTTTGGCCAAATCTCTCAAATAGATGGGCACAAACATCTTTTTTATCCCCAGGTTCTCGTCTGCTTCTCGCCGGTGCCTCACAGAGGTTTGTAACAGGAAAAGAATACATTTATTTATTTGATGTATTTAAAATATTCTTACCCTGCCTTTCTCCTTAAAAGGACCCAAAATAAAACCTGCCCTACCCTTGCACACCTGTGTCAAAGGTCAAATAAATGGCTATATGCCTCCCACGGGAGTAATACGTTTTTTTTGCCAACCTTTTAGAAAGATGGGGAGGATTTCTTGGTGCCTTTCCCAAACCCGTACATGCCACAACCGCTGGCTTCTTTAACAAAAGCCTGGCAAGACTGAAGCTGTGCATCGTTGCGGTGACAAGCTTGTTCTTAGAACACAGTGGGGCAGTCCACCCACTCCTGGATCTCTTGGGTGAAATCCAGGATTTTGTGAGGTTA